CACAATTTGAAACGAGCGCGAGGAATCAATCAGAAATTGTCATCCAAAAAATTTAAGAACTTTGCATAACAAACAAAATCGGAACGCAAGTTTTCTAATTTTTTTACGCAATAAGTTTCTCACTGATTTTTTGTCTTTGCTGTGCAAGCCCTAAATGAATATAATGTTTACCAATTATGAGTTTGAATGAATTTTAAAATCGGATGATGGCGCTGTTGTCTCGCCGAAACGTAACGAAATAAACGATATGCAAAAAAATGTGTTTTATTAAATAATATAACTGCTCAATAAGTTTTGAAAGCGGTAAACGGGAAAATTGGCTGAAACTGCGCCAATTTTCAGATTCAGATTGAAAAACTGCCCTACTTTTGTATTAGAGCGTATTTTGCACAATTTAACACGAGAATGAGTAATCAGTGAGAAATTGTCATCCGAAAAATTTTAGAGATTCACAAAATTAAAAAATGGAAACAGAACGAAAAATTTTGAATTGTTTTGTTATGCAACGTTCTTAATTTTTTTTGAATGACAATTTTGCACTGATTTTTCATTCTCATGTTTTACATTCCGAAATAGAACATTCCTTTGATACAATTTAAAGCGAGAATGAGGAATCAATCAGAAGTTGGCACTAAAAAATAGATTAGAACTTTGCATCTCGAAAAATACAACAAAGTTTTTAGTTTGTCACCGATTCTTCATTACAATTTTTTCAATACCAAAATAGAAAACTTCTTAGGCACAATTTGAAACGAGCGCGAGGAATCAATCAGAAATTGTCATCCAAAAAATTTAAGAACTTTGCATAACAAACAAAATCGGAACGCAAGTTTTCCAATTTTTTTACGCAATAAGTTTCTCACTGATTTTTTGTCTTTGCTGTGCAAGCCCTAAATGAATATAATGTTTACCAATTATGAGTTTAAATGAATTTTAAAATCTGATGATGGCGCTGTTGTCTCGCCGAAACGTAACGAAATAAACGATGTGCAAAAAAATGTGTTTTATTAAACAATATAACTGATCAATAAGTTTGGAAAGTGGCAAACGGGAAAATTGGCGCAGTTTCAGATTCAGATTGAAAAACTGCCCTACTTTTGCATTAGAGCGTATTTTGCACAATTTATCAGTCTATGACACACCAGGTTTTAGCATCTTAAGTTGATTATTGTGCTTTCTCGGTTTATTTAAAACTGGTTGTTTCTCGAAATGAACCCGACGGTTAAACATGAAGTGAAAAAAAATCTTTATTTGGGGCTTTTTGAAACCCTTCAAATGTCCACGATTGCAAATCGCCATCGACAAACCGAATTCCCAGCCTTGTTGTGGCACCGGCCAGAATTTTTCCAAAAAAATCCCACTGGTTTTCCGAGTCGATGAGCCGAAACCACGCAAATCGTTTCAAAAACCCATTAGAAAAGCGAGCAATTTTAGACACACACATAATAATACACTTGCGCAAATTTGTCGTGTCTCTAATGCGTTTTAAATGAAAGCCACTATTTCCCTGTGATCTTTTGTGCTGTGTATATAAAATGATTATACCGGCGCAATTACCGAAATTAAGTAACACCTATAACGAAAGTGCAGAAAGCTTTTAAGTTAAAAGCTTCAAAGGATAGAGGTGGCAGCTTGTATCATCCACCAATTTATAATGTCCTTTGTCACGTCATCGGACCCGCGCGAAAATCTATTGACACTTTTCCACAAAAAGAGCGTGGATAATTTTTAGAAGAAGGTTGTTTAGGGACGTTTTGTCAATCATTGTTTGTGTGGCGAGTTCAAAGAGGGGCCTGATGTGCGTTGGACAGGGACACTGTCTATTTTCATTTTTTTTTTACTACAAAGGCCCCAAAGTTCAGCGTTATTTGATCAGAAATTGATTTCTGTAAAAGCCTTCAATGTAGGAGGCATTTTTTTCAAAGAGGGACCAAAGGAGGCCTGTTGGTCAAGTCGTCAACACATTTTGTCTGGTATGGTTTCCCACTCAATTTAACTCAAGAAACAGTTTCGCATTGCAACATTCTGAGCTGATGAATGTAGAAAAATGCCAAAATTGTTTAGCGAAAGAGGGCCATTTTCGGCCAAACGTGTGAAGTGGTGAAATAAAGGGCTGTTTTCCTTTAAGCCACTGAATCATTCAAGTCGAGTAACTCAAAACTCCCGGGAAGTTTCAAAAGATTTTCCCAGCTCCTAAAAGCCAGTAAAATCCTGCAAGAGCGGGCGTCAAAAGGAGCAAATATCCAAATGTTTTCGACTCAATAAGAATCTGGTGGACTTTCGAGGCCAAACAAGCAAGCAAGCTGTAAGGGAGCAGTCTAATTAAAATGGGGGATAAGAACAAAAAACAATTAGTCTAATTAATAGTCATAATTACCGAAATCTTCCCTATGTGCTCTCATATCCAGTGCGGACTCCTGCTCCTCACTATCACCAGCTGCTCGTTCCACGTCCTTTTGACTCAAAATATCGTTTATCGAAAAAGGAGTGACCGAGGCTGAGGGACATTTCTCGCATTTGCCCGTGCAACTGTTGTCGTCTTCCATTTTTTCCTTGAGCAGTTTTCCCTGATGTTTAGCGCCACTAGAACTCGCAAACTTCCACACACCACAACTCCCAATTCGGTTCCCGGGCGCCTAAATTCAGACTGGCTGTCGGGACTTAATGAAATTATTCCCGACACCACTCATGTGCGTTTACTACTTGAGACTCTTTCCCCATCTCTTTTCAGCGCTTCAGCACGATCCTGGCGCCTCTTTTCTAACTCCGATTGTTTGGGGAGGAGTCTGGAGTTAAAGACTTGCTGTCGTATCGCGTGCGAAAACTGATGTTTTATCGTTTATTAATTGCTTTTCGTTTAACGGATTATTTTTGGATCTGTTTCTTCAATGAGAACAGGAGCGGATGTTATTGATGGTTTTTCTGGCGGATTACAAATTTGCTTCGAATTCTTTCACGTTTTATAACAGCGAACTTTTCCAGCTTTGTATCGGGTCAATTGTTGGCTTCTTCACCAAATCTCCCAGCTGAATTTTTCGCATTTAATTCTTAGCTTCTGCTAGAGGAGTTCGGCTAAATAGTTCACTGTGCTGAAGCTTTCGAACATCACGCAGCCATCCAGCCATAATAGACACGTTGCACTTATTCTTTCCTTTGTATATTTATGTTGCGTTCATCTGTTTTCATCAAAGACATTCAGCTAAAATTTCAGTCATTAACCAACACGTGTGACACCGATGCACAATAATTCGAATCACAAAGATCAAAATGCGTTTGTTCTTGGCCAGCAGTGGGGTAGAGGAGCGTTGGATATAAAGCGGTGAAAAGGATGGGGAAACTGGGCAGCTTCAAGCACTTTTTGCGAAAATAATTGCTAGCGATGGATCAGTCTGGTCGGCACAGTCTCGGTCTGTTTGCTCTGGTTCTTCTCAGAATTTCGGTTGGAAAATTGCTCCTCTACGCTCCTGGTACTCGGAGGTTCCACCCTGAAGTGGATGGTTTCCGGTAGGCACCTCGTTGACGGGAGAACATCCACGGAAGTGCGTCACTCGTTGTTTACACCAATAACCATTTAAGATGCAGTTAAACAAAACATCACAGGAGTCAGATTGATTATTTTCGTAAGAGAAAATCGGGCCATTTAATTGATCAATAAAACCGACTATTAACTAGAGTTTAGGTTAAATGTTTTGGTTGTGAATTGGATTAGGCCTGGAGTAATTGTGTTGCGATCGGAGTAGGATTTTTATTTTATTATTTTATTAACTCCCCGATTCCAGCTTCATCCAATCCGATTAATTACCCAGGCCAAGCGAAAAGTGAACTGTTCTGGACATTTTGCTGCTGAACAGCGATTTTCTGACTTTAGTGGCCACTTACTTTCTTAATTAGTGGCAAATTGTGTTCTTTAATTGGGAAATTGTTCCTTTTTTTCAAGCTCATTTTTAACTCTATAAATCGCTTCAAATGCAAACTTTATTCTAGAAGTTAAACCGAACTTCAAATGTTCCAACTTTACTGAAGAAACTGCGTACAAAATGCGGCAAATTTTTCTAGAATTTTTCCAACTTTGCATGGATCTAAGTGAGCACGCCTGTCTATAAAAGGCTGCAACTCCCAAATTTCGGGAAATACACAATCCAAATGTTCCAACTTCACGCAAAACACTTTGCTTTTAAAATACGAGAACTTTCAACCAAGTGGCGTCTCCAAGAGAGTTTCTAGAATTTTGCAAACTGGAAACTTTCAAATGGTTCAAAAGATCAAAACTCCCAACTTCATCCAAATAGAAATTTTAGATTTTGCAACATCCTCCAGAACACGTGACTTTTGAACGCATGTGAAGGTTTAATCCGGTTGGGATTTCTAGAATTTTCCACAGTTGAAACTTTGCATTGATCCAGTCCAATACTTTCTATAAGACTTTTCAACTTTCCGGGACCGCAAACTTTAACTTCTGCTGCTTCATACAGGAAAAGATGCGTTAAAAACACGCGGAGTTTCAACCAAGTCGAGTCACCAAGAGAGTTTCTGGAATGTTCCAAACTTGAAACTTTTGTATCTTTCAAGTGGGCCTGCTCGTCTAGAAGAGGCCACAACTCCCAAGTTCCTTCAGAGAGAAATTTAATACTTTGCAACATAGCAGAGGACGTGCGGCCTTTGTAGGCACGAGGAGTTTCAATCCGCATGGCATTTCAGGAAAGTTTCCAGAAGTTTTGCAAGTTGAAACTTTGCAGTGCTCACCAATCAAGTGAGCACGTCTGTCTATAAGAGCCTCCAACTTCTCACTTTCCGGAGATACAATCTTCACGGAAGAAACTTTGCATCAAAAATACCAAAAGTTTTCACCAAGTCGTGACTCCAAGAGAGTTTCTAGAATTTTTCATACTGAAAACTTTCAAATGGTCCAAAAGTTCACAACTTGGCATTGGTCCAAATGAGCGCGCCTTTCTATAAGAGGCAGCAACTGGCAACTTTCCGGGACTGCAAACTTTAAATTCTGCTGCTTCGTAGAGGAAAAGATGCGTTAAAAACACGCAGAGTTTCAACCAAGTCGAGTAACCAAGAGAGTTTCTGGAATGTTCCAAACTTGAAACTTTTGTATCTTTCAAGTGGGCCTGCTCGTCTAGAACAGGCCACAACTCCCAAGTTCCTTCAGAGAGAAATTTAATATTTGGCAACATTGCAGAGGACGTGCGGCCTTTGTAGGCATGAGGAGTTTCAATCCGCATAGCATTTCAGGAAAGTTTCCAGGAGTTTTGAAAGTTGAAACTTTGCAATGCGCCCCAATCAAGTGAGCATGTCTGTCTATAAGAGGCTGCAACTCCCAACTTCACACCGCTATGAAGGTGAGGTTTGGCAACTTTATGTAGGGGATATTATCCGAAGGATATCCGGAGTTTTAAGCAATTCCAGCCATGAATCAAGCTTCTAGAATTTCCATTCTCGAAAGTTTGTTGTCTTTTCATTGGGCATGACTGCCTATAAAGGGCTGCCAACTGCCAACTCCCAACAACGGCAACCTGAAAATTTTGTCACTTTATAGAAGAAATTCTGCTTCAGTAACTGGGGCTGTTTTAGCCCATTTGAGCGCTAAGTTAAATTTCTAGAATTTCGAATTTCGAAGAAAACCCAAACTTTCGAATGATCCAAGTGTGCGCGCTTGTGGTAGAATGTCGACAACTTCGTAATTGCAACAGCTGCAAACTTAAGATTTAGGAACTTTACAACTGAAACTCTGCTTGAAAAACTGTAATTTTTAACCAATCTGTGCAAAAGAAAGTTTCTAGAATTTTCCAGATTGAAAAGATATTTTTTTAAATGGGCGCGCTTGTTGTTAACAGGCCACAACTCCCAACTTCCAGCAGATAGACACTTGAAATTTTGCAAATATTTAGAGGAAGCCCTGATTGAGAAGTGCGGCAAATTCTTAGAAAATTGAAATGAAGGAAGAGTTTCTAGAATTTTTCAAACTTGAATCTTTCAAAGGTTCAAACAGCCGCGCCGCTCTCCCGTCAATTTCCTAGCAAAAATAGGGGGCTGTTTGGGTTAGTTTGTCAATTAACGATTCTAGTCCTCAAAACTAGATAAAATTGGACTCTTGGAGTTTTTAACCAATTTGTGCAAAAGAAAGTTTCTAGAATTTTCCAGATTGGAAAGATGTTTTTTTAACTGGGCGTGCTTGTTTTCTACTGGTCACAACTCCCAACTTCCAGCAGATAGACACTTGAAATTTTGCAAATATTTATATGAAGCCCTGCTTGAGAAGTGCGGCAAATTCTTAGAGAATTGAAATGAAGGAAGAATTTCTAGAATTTTTCAAACTTCAAGCTTTCAAAGGTTCAAACAGCCGCGCCGCTCTCCCGTCAATTTCCTAGCAAAAATAGGGGGCTGTTTGGGTTAGTTTGTCAATCAACGATTCTAGTCCCCAAAACTAGATAAAATTGGACAATTTCCTCACTAACTCGATACTTATTGGGTGAACCAGGTAGGAAAAGTTCCCCATTTTAATGATGAGTATCTGGTTGGGTAAGACGGCTAATTTTGGCCGTTCGTTATGGTTTCTTAGGTTTTGTTTATAAATGATCGGGAAATAAAAGTTGTTTTGTATTTTTTCTGAGTCTTATATGTGCTGCAACGATTTTAATGCTCTTCGCGCTAAGTCGTAAATCTCGACGGATAAATGGTGATCTCGCAATTTACATTCATTGTTTTATTAGGAGGATAAATTCAAGTCGCCTACGTTGTTAACATTAGCGTAATCAATGCAATTGGATTTTCATCTTCGTTTAAACCACGACTTCAGCAGTTGCTTTAGAAATTCGTCATCATGCAACAAGTAATGCGGTGATTATTGCAAACCGGTCAAAAATAGAATATCATTGAAAAATCCTTGCCGGATTCATGCACTCCAAACGAGTGGAGTAGAGGAAAACGAAACCGGCAGTTTCCATGCAAGATGGGTACTTGAAATCCTCTACGTCAAAGGGTGTTATCGGCAACTGTGATTTACTGCGGTGTTATTCGGCAACCAAGTACCTAATTTAACGCTAGGAAGCTTAACCACTTATAAAAACCCGACGGATTACCGACCACTTAACGTGTTTAAAATAGCTATTTTATAAACAAGTCTGCCTAAGTACTTGTACTTGAATAAAGTGGCCCACTTCTTATGCATATGGTTATTATAATTTCATACACACACACACAAACTTTCCCCGTTTACGTGAACAGGAACTATCTCGACGACTGATGCCAGGTTAAGCTGTAAATATTATAATAAAACATACCGAAATATGCAGTCATAATTAATCTGTTTATTATTTTTGATATAAACTGTTCATCAAGATTATTTCGGGGTAATGTAGTACCTGGCTATAGTTTTCATAGGCGCGATGATTTACCGGCGAATATGCTTTGAGTTTTATCGGCAGCGAGAAAAACCGATTTTAATCAACTTGTTCCGACCGACTTGGTGCACTTAATAGATCATTATGCGTCCACACCAAAGGCCATGCGAGTAGGTCCTTGTCGCTTCTTTTGTATGGAGGCGATCCAGGCTTAAAGAACAGTATTGTTGCTGATTTCTGATTATGGTGGCCGATCTAGCCGAGCGCAAACTTCCATTCACGCGAACTAAACATGTATATTTGTGCAGCCACTCGCCCCTTCTGCCAGAGGGGACACGCTTCAGCCTTATTTCACATTTAAAGCGTTCAACTTAAATAGTGGATCTTGTGGCTTTGGTTAAGCAGCCAAAAGCTCACAAGGTTTAAAAAAATCCTGCAGTTTTGACGAGAACTGGGCTTTTTCCAGCTTGTTCTGAAGCAAATAATGTCTTGCTCCACAGACACGAGCCGAAAAGAGCCAATTTTCTAAACGTAGCTCTGAAAGCCAGTAATAATGGGCCTTGATTCATATGGAAATCGTTCTTTTCTGGAACGGAAACACTTCTTGAGAGTTCAGCTAAGTTTTCAATCCGCAATTAACATCCCGAAAGGCAGCATCAAAACTGAAATTAACCGGATCCGACGCCGTCGAGGATCAATAATGGAGATAAAAATGAAATTCCAGTCAGTAGGACGCAGAGCAATTTGGCTCCCCATCTCAAGTGATCAACGCATTGATTCCGTAATTTACCAGAAGTTTTCCTCCAGCGAAAAATTGCCCGAATAGCTTTTGATTGGCTAACAAAAAAGTTTGCGAAACTTGTCAACTGCTTCTTTTCGCCAGAAGTTCCAGATTGGGCATTATTGGT